AATCTTATTCAACCTTGTCTTTAATCCAACATGTTGCAAAGATTTGCAGTGATAATCTAGCAATGTCCTTAACATCATTATTATGAGGGATTTCTGCTGATATTTATTTCTTAGTAATTGACAACATATTAACCTAATTCTTTTTTCAGTATCTGGTCTGCAATTTTCCTAACATTAATTCTGTTTTGGTTAACATGACTGACATGATTAAATAAAATGGCTATTTCAACATATTGATATGTGTCTTCCCATTTGAAATGACCTACTACACTTAAGTGTTGTTATATTTTTCTAGTCCTTCGGAATCATTGATGCCAGCACTTTTGAGTGTTGAGAATTGAGTACCGCTCATGCCGGTGCAAGGAGCGTGAGGGATGTTGCACGTATTCAGTATCCCTCATGTACAGACTCAATCAAACCGAGTCCGCAATTCTCTTGTAATTTTGTTGTGATTAATGCTTCCGATGGATCACTTTGTTTCCAGTTTTTTAATTTAATCTTCCATAACGCAGTTGCATACAAACTCTTAACAATAAAAGCCGTACGAAGAGCAAATAGCATTAATTTCTTTAATGATTAAAGTCTGTCCTAACGATCAGAAGCATGAATGGGGAAAAATAATTTATTATTTCCCAGCAACAAATAAATTCCATTCTGATTTGTCTAATGTAACTGAACCAGTAAAGTTTTATACTCATTATCGTCTGGAGAACTAGAATAATCAGACATTTATTAAGCTTTATTACTGCAGTAGTCAGTAAAACTATGTTAAGCCCGTCTCACACAAAACACGGTTGGGCACACGGTTCCAAACGGTATTTAGCTCCAACCGTGCCTTGGGATTAGCTAGCACGAGATAGACTCGAATGAAACACGAGCATGTACGAATAAAGGACGGATATACTCGAACAAGCAAGGCATCCGAATACATATGATTGCTGCAAGGTTGAGAGAACAGTCTAGTACGGACTGGTACGATTTACCACAACTTTTACTCGATTTACTCAACTTTCACAGGGTTTACATAGTGTCCCGCCGACTTTTGTTCGAGTTATGCTCGGATAATCACATATTCGTGTATAATTTGATATAGATTGACCCATTATGATGGCTTGGCTTCATAAATGTTCGAACTTCCAACGAAGAACACCTATATATGTGAATATTGGTTATATGAAGCAATGCCAGATACAACAGATGGCAGGATAAGGCAACTAGAAATCATGATAAGACGGATAGACATTGGAGGGTCCCCCTGCTCATCAGGCTCGGCAGGGTCAGAAGGTTAGAGTGGTCGGCGGGCCTTGATGGCCCTTGTTGCATTCCTTCTGTGCGCGGGAACCTTCTTCTTTGGATACATTCTAGTATGATTCAGCAAGTACTCTTGGTGGATCTAGCAATTGAGGGTTGCAGCAGATTTTTCTGTAGGGTGAACGTTTCGGTTGTCAAAAAAAGCGTTTATCGTGCGTCCTTTTTTCGTGTAACGTGCGTGCGTATATCGTGCAACGTGCGTTTGATGAAACGCTTTCTCAAGCGTGCATCGTTTACAAGCGTTTAACGTTTATCGTTTTCCGTGTATCTTTTTTCGTTTATCGTGCGTTTGAGAGCGTGCGTTTGCTATCGTTTAGCGTGCTTATGCGTCCGTTTATCGTTTGGTCCAGAACGTTTTAATAGCGTGCGTCTGCGTCTGTCATTAGTTTAGAACATATAGTCTAAGCGAAATGATGGTAAACTTTATATGATAATATTTGACAGTTCTTTTATTTCAAGTAAAATCTTTTCTATAAATAACATAAATTTATTGTTGTTAACTCTAACATTCGATCTAGTTTGTGACCCTATGATGAAGTTCCATGAACACCGTACATCGACGCACGTTATTCACACATAGATTTAGACATTCTCTTGAAAATGTGTTGGGCTGCCGGTCTGCAATGTTTGTTTTCCTTTTGTTTAAAAATGTCATATTAATTCCGTTCGTTTCTGTGTATTTGACTCGATAATTTGATCGCTAATTTGCTTAAGTTTCTACCATTCTTTTTATTTACGCCGAAAGCGGTGTCGACGTAATATATGTCTATCTAGAGATTCCTGGGCTAAAGCAAAGTACTTTTTCAGAAATGCGCATAAAAACGAACCCGTTGAATTTTTTTTTCAATATTAGCGCATGATAGCTTATAATTTGAAAAAAATCATTTGTTGAAACATAAACCCGTTTAAAATACATGTCTAGCTATCATTTAATCAAAACGCTAAACGATCTAGCTAATTAAGTTGTTAAAGACTTATATGATAAGGATATTTTATTAAACGTTTAGAAACGTTTTTATTTTGCGTGCGTTTTAGCGTGCGTATATCGTTTAGCGTATTTCGTTTAGCGTATATCGTTTTGCGTGCGTCTGCGTATTATGTTTGGTAAAGCGTGCATGTAACGTTCGTTCGTATATCGTGTAACGTGCGATCGTTGTTTCCAGAGCGTGTGTTTTACGTGTAAACTGAAACGTTCACCCTACTGTAGTTGTGGTATTCGTTGTACAGTTTATGCTGATGAAGAGGCCGTGTGAGACTTTACGAGGCCATGTGAAACCGTGTATACCCGTACTACACCGTGTCTGCCATGTATGATTCGTACTTGAACCGTACTGGTCGTATGACGATCATATGAAACCGTGTGTGCACTCGAATGAATCGTACCGTGATCGTGTGCCCTTCGGATGTTAATCGGGTGTTGGATGTAGGACCTGGGGACGGTCTCTTACGATTCCATACGATTTATATAGTATTACGATCTTAACACGATTGGGCTCACTCGTGAAATGGACTTCAAATACGGTTTGTATATACGGTCTCTTACGATCTCACACGGTCTCTTGCGGTCTTGTACGGTCGTTTATACGATCATACATGGACATTACATCCGTGCTAGTTTTTTAAAAGTTTTAAAAATCATACACGGCTTGCACGGATACACTCGAATGGCCCGAGTGTAGCTCGATTAAACTCACGGTTAGTTCGGTTGTATGTACGGTTAACCGGGTGGTAAACCGTATAAGCCGTGTGTTCTGTGTGAGATGGGCTTTAGCCAATCTAAATAACTTTAGTCCTGGCTTTTCGTCTTAGACGTCAATTTATTAAACGTTAAAAATGAGTTATTTCAAGTTCCAAATAAACAAAATCAATGAATAAAATCAATTTGTTTAAAGTTGCATACTTCGAAAAAAGAATGTTTCAATTGAAAACGGAAAAGTATAAGTATGTCTTTATACATTATATTTAGGGTTTAAGTTATAGTGATTAAATGCGTAAAGCTGAGATGCGGCCCCGCGAGGGCTGTAATGCTTCTGTGTTTATAAGTGGAATTGATATCAGATTTAAATCAATAACAAATATATGTCCTAGGCTTATATGTTTGAGAAAATTCATTAGTTAGTTGACTCCGACATTTTGTATACCCTGGAATAGTTTTATATTTGAGCCATAAATTGATCTCAGGAAGCTGGTGAAAAGCATTTAATAAAAGCACTTCTACACAATTTAGACTGTTGCTGGAAAACGCAACATTCTAGTGTCCTAATTACGCCTTCGGTAGAAATATGATGCATAAAATCAATAAATGAATGTTATAATTTTTGAAAAGAACTGAAGAGACGATCATTAATGATCCTGTAACACAATTTTTTCATGGTTTTATTTCATAAATATGATGCTCAAATTAAGATTTGTCAATATTGTAAGTTCCAGTAAGCATTATTTATAAAGATATTACCCAATTTAACATTTCATGTAAATAAAGGGAGGTAATTTGAATTTTATTTTCTATAAATTCTAAGTCAAATTTTCCATAAGAAATGAATGCATGTAATTTATTGATTAAATATAATGAGCACAAATATTTGCAGTACACATTTTACATATTCTTCGATGTTTGAAAATTGTTTTATGTGCATAGTTATATAATTATATACATATATAACTTTTTGCAAGTGTGGTATACACATAGTAACAATATCAATCACAAAACATACAGGATCTTTAACAAAAAACTTACTCTTCAATATCCATTTTGATAAATCATCACGTTTAAAAAACGTTTAAACAATAACACTGATAAGAGATTAACAAAAATGGCGGACGAGGCATTCGGAAACACTCCGAACACTTTGAAAATAGGTTGAACAACATTAATTAATTCGTATCTAATTAACGGTAAAATATACCTGCGTTTACTCATTAGTTACAAAGTAAAAAACAAGATCTTGTTGATATATGAAACACTTTATGCGTGTTATTAAATGATAAGGGCTTTCCGCATCATAGAAAGCACAATATTTCATAAAAATAAATGTATACCTCTGATAAAGAGACGTTTGTGAAAACCAATTTGGCAAATTGATGTGGTTTGAAGTTCACAATCCATTGTAGATCACTGTCCAAAATTGTCCTGAAGGGGTAACTTAAGGACGTAATAATGGAGTCTGTACTCACGTATTGTACGTGACCAAAGTACAATCCATCTTTGCGTTTAGCTCTCGGGAACGACACCACAATGCCTGTGTAACGTAAAACAAACCTAGCCTAAATAAAAGCTTATATAGAGGCTCATATGCCTTATTGATAGGGTTTCTCAGGAATTGTCATTGCATCATAAAGACAAGCTTAAGACAAGTATAGCAAAGCGTAAATGCCCGGTGTATTACATTTAATTGTGAACATTAGTTTCAGTATTTGTTTTCATAACCTTATGGAAAGAAGCCGGAATCAAGCAATCGAGAAAGAGAAAATTTTGACCGCGACTTGAGCAAACTTTTTAAATTGTGCGCAATGTTAATCAGAAATTTCATACAGTATATTCTGATCAATCCATAGATAGTATATTTTTAAATGAAACGTAGATTACATTTATACTAAACTTACCTCAATAATGGGAAGAAGTTGTTAGGAAACATTAATTTAAATTGTCTTGATAACTTTAACATTCATAAGACTTATGGTTTAAATCATTAACTAAGATCTATAATATACACAAATTAATTGTGATACCACTTAAGTTATAATACAGTTTTGATTATCATAACACTGATACCACATGCTGATGTATCTATGTTACATCTGAATTTTGCCAGAAGCTATAATCTCTTAATAAATATGTCACACAAGCATAAGAAACACTGACCTGTACTGTTGAAAAATACTTTATTAAGAAATGTTAACAAACCAATGTTTTGTAGTTTGGCAAAACAATGCCCATCATCGGTTATCTTCTTACTTTTCCATAATCCAAACGGACTATTTTTGTAGTGATTACAAAGTCCAACTGGTTCGATGGATCCAATTGGTTCCCTTTTCGATAAATATAGTTCGTTATCAAATACATAATAGTCAGTGTAGTATTCATAATCCGGTTCATAAAAGTAGGGTTGGTCATATTTGTTTGACGATATATTATAACTGGCAACACTGCAATTGTTTTGAATACTGCAAAGTTCAAGACATCTCGTAAGATTTGTATTCAAGACAGTTGAATCTCCAGATAGCAATTCATATTCAAGAGGCATCATTTCAGATGATTTGTTGTTGTGGATGTCAGTTATACCTGTTAAATAAGAGTTGTAAATCTACAAGATTAAAAAATAATCATAGCAAATATATTTGTAATTTTAGAAAACACATTATATTGAGTCAAGATTTACTAGGAAATTTAAACAGAATATAAACATGTTTCGAATTGGGTACACGTAAAGTATATCTTTAATCGATATTTTTGTCACAATCCATTAATAGTAAACATGATACAAACATATATTCAACTGCCTAAATTGTCAACTTACGTGTCAGTTTACAGCCAAAAAATTTGAAATTAAGACATCTTGATCTGCGTGTTGGCTTTTCAAGTGAATGTTTGAATTTTGCGTATCTCCCATTGATTGGTCTCGGCAGAATGAACACTTGATCTATATCCCACCAGTTTTCATATTGGAATGTTCTAAATTCCTGAAATAATGAATCACCAGTTTGTGTTTTTCGAAATATCTTTGGCTTTATTTTTCTAGATCATAGTACATACATGTATATCAACATTCTTTTGGACAATTGGTTTAGTTTTAATAATGCAAAGTGGCTGATTTATAACGTTTAAAAACAATGTCTAAATTTATACTGAGATAAACCATTAGAAATGCAATGAAAATTTCTGAAACTATAAAAGTATGGCTAAACATAAAGTTAATGGGTATATGTGTGTTGTAATGTACAAACTGCAGTTACAATAAGAACTGTGGTACACTTTAATTCACCCGAGAAGTGTTTTTGACTTTTATTACTTTCAGAGACAGTTTTCTCCTAGTTGAACACCAAGAACAATTATGTAACCTTAGATACACATTTACCGCATTGTCCTGTTTTAAAATAAATGCAATCAGATTACCTTCATTGGTAGACATATTAGTTCATACGGTGGTAATCACTTACCCTTGATACCCTTCTGGAACAGTTTATCGCGGGAAATTTTGAAAAGGAATTATAGACACAATTGATTTAAGTAACCTTATATTATAACCTAACAATGTAAAAATACAACACTTGACATAACATTACATTCTTTATAATTCTTCCGATATGTTGTGTCGTTGTGTATTCTATTGTTACTTTGACATTTCTGACAAGCAAAACTATCGCGTTTCTAGCTTTCTTGATATTCAATAACTTTTTAACTATTTCACAATTTACACGCAAAAATACTTTTGATGTTTCAGGTGAAACACACGTTTGGTTTAAACATATTTATTCCCGGAAGTATATATAATGTACATATAAAAACATAATAAACAAAACATTTTTACTCAATGGAAAAGGATGAGAATGAAAGACAAGTCTTATAGAATTCTTATCATTAAGGCGTCATACAGCATTTGAAATACAATTTAAAATATTGACAAACATTTAAGAAATAAATAGTTAAATAAATTAAGAAATAAATAAATAAGCACTACTATTAAAGTTTATCTGGAACATTTACAATGAATAAAATATGAATACTGATGTTCAGTTGTTACTTTTTAAAATATGTTTACACAAACGAGCATACCATGACCTTGTATAACTGTAATGTATCCTTATTGTTGCCGAAATATAAACTGAAAGTGGTCCGCATGTCACAGTCTTTCGAAACGTGGACACTAACTCCTTCTATGGTTGTTACATCAATTAAATCAATCTAAATTGATAAAGATTATGTGTACTGAAAGTGTTGACATGTGTCAGAATTATTTTTAATTTTCAAATAAGGTATCTGAACAACACGTACATGTATATATTCTTCAGAACATTTTTGAGTCGCAGAAGAATGTTGCAAGTGCATCAGTAAAATACTAATTGTTCAAACCATTTCCTTCCACTTACACACTTTAGACAACTGAGTCAAAAGAAGCGATTCCCTGAATTGTGCTTATAGTTATGAAATGTGTGCATTCAACCGCAAAAATGATTTCTTATTGTCTTCCGTTTGAAAAAAGTACTGCGATGAACTAATATGAAATGTGTATAGTTTGTTTAAATAGTTGTGACGTATTTGAATCTCATTCACATCACGCTCTTATAAGCTCATTTGAATTAAAATCACTAAAATTATGAAGTAAGGATTATAACATCTTCACAAATCTTAAATTTTCTAAAGATATTTGTGATATATTGGACCAATCACCTCCTTATTTTCAAAACTGGAAAAAGATTGTATTCCATAGAGAACATATTTATAACAATTCATTCATACGTAAATTTTCCCTACATGTTATAAACTAGTATGACAAAACTATTTTATCCTTTTATTTTACAGAAAGACTAGTTTCACAGACAGACTACAATAAGTTGTAAATAGTAAAGGAAAAAGTATTTAATAGAGGTATTAAGTTGCCAACAAAATCTGGACATACACTTTAAAGTAAAGGATAATATATTGACAACAATATAGTCATCATTTCTCATTACTTTTAATTTTACTTAAATGTAAGGAGATAAGAAATAGATTTTTTCAAGTAAAGTTAAGCAGCAGGAAGAATGGTATCTCAATGATTCCAAATTGAAAATGTTTGAACATGTTAGTAAGTAGATGCAATAAAAATACTATCTTCCTGTTTAAAGTATTGCTCAATGCATTATCGTTTTATTCCTTTTATGAGGGAATACTTTTTACATTAATTATACAAACCAAAATCCAAGGTGTCAGATCTGTAGCATCATGAATCCAACCAGTAAAAATAGTGTTTGTATTTGTAGGTATTTGTGTTGTGGTTCCAGAAGAAACAGTGATCTGACTGTTTGGTACATGTTTGTTGTCTATTTCAATACTTTCAAAACATGGCTCACCATTTTCTACAGACAAAGCATTAGAAGTATTACAAAAACAAATACATACTCGTGTACAAACAAAAACAAAACATTTTGTTAAAAGGTTTGCCACGGGCACAGTTAATGATTTGTACTGTATAATTAATGAAAGATCATTGAAAATGGAGTACTGATTGCAAAGTGATATTAAGTGCTTGGATAACGCATGTGTTCCATATTATACTAGAAGTAAACAGTTTGCTTTAATGTGTTTTGGTCCTAGTATATCATATTGCCAAAATCTTTTCAGACAGTAATTGAAACACGTAAACAAATAACTCATTGGCGGCATTAGAGAGGTTAACACACCAACGTAAAAATGCATGGGTCAAATCTCGCAAGTGGCAAGCCATTGTGTCTGTTAGTAAGAAATTTTAAGCTCATTTTTGTACTGGTTGGTCCCAGGAACGGATTCCAGATTGTTTCAATACGGCTAAAGCTTCTAAAAACTCTAAATGAATTAGGCAGAAATTCGTAAAATTTAATTAAATAATTCATTCCCATATTAGAATATTCAAATGTTAACCTATGAAATTTGTTAGAAAATGGATTCATAAGTAATCAAAATAAGTCACCAACTTTATGAATGTTTTTTTTTAGTTTAAATGTTGAACTACTTAATAAATTAATATTTCTATCGAATTTAATATTCGAAGTTATCAATGGTGAATCATTCACAAACAATATTCTTCAGAGTTGGTTATTTTAAGCTTCATAAAGTTTACTTACGTGCTTCTATACTCGATATGAAGACCTGAAATGACATGTCGCCTGCTATGCTTGCCTTCAATGCAAATGTAAAAAACCGACCTTGTGTTCTCCTGCAATTTAAGAGGTCAATTAAAAATATACTCCGTATTCTACGAAAATAGATTTGAACAAAATAGTTCAGAAGCGTATTTTAGATATTTCAACAGATCTTACGATCTCTCATTCAAAGGTAAGCACATATTTCATCTTATAACAGCATCAATAAGGTATGCGAAACAATTACCTTAGATATAGTTTTCCTGGAAGAGTGGTGGTTTCTGTGTTACAAACTGCAGATTCCCCTAAATTCCCAGGTACATCACTGATAAAACACTTGAAATAGATATTTTCCTGAAGGAAAACATTCCAGCACTCAAAAAGTCATGCAATCGACAGACTAATAAATGTTTAATTCATTAAGATACTATGAATTTCAAAACACTGGTCATTAATTTATTTTACAAATTGTTGTTGTTTTTAATTATTATTATTATTTTACGACCTGCTAAAGGAGTGAATAAACGCTGATCACAGGTTAACATTTTGTGATATTTTCGACATCAACCGTTCACAGTATTCATATAGATAAACTCAAAATAACACGCGCGGTACATGCCTCGTATGATGGTTTTATTTATAAAAAAAAACATAAATTAACAACACGTGAAGATAACTTAAGATTAGCCATTCGTTCCCTATTTTGAGCCGGAACAAAAACGAAAAACAAGTTTATGACAACTAAATAAGTAAGACACCAGTCAATTGATAAAGGCTATTTTTAATACGCAAACGTATTAAAATGTTTTTAGCATCGGGGACCTTGACCTAAGTGTCGTACTGTTCGATAACTTCATAAAGTAAGAGGACTTCCTAAAGTATCTACTTTCTAAATATGAATGGCATAAGTAATTCAACGGATGATGTGTGATCAAAGTTGTTTATAAGCGACATTGCCCTTGATCTTGACCAATGTCGCTTCAGTAAGAAGGCCATCCAAGGTAGGTTTCCATCACGCTTGAAAGACATCGACCAATTAATTAAGGCTATGAATTATAACCAAAAGTGTAACTAGCATTATAGAGAAGTGATAAAATATCATATTGAATAAAGATCTTGGACAACAGTCACCCTCTCCCTGTTTTCTATCACTGTTTGATGTGTTTATAACATTTTAACAATACCTTTCTAGTTAAACAAATTGGCAAGTATATTTATGTTTCATCATAAAGGGAGCTAAATTAAAAATAATGTTACAGTTGTTCTTTTTTTTTTTGTTAATACTGCAATTGTTCTGACTAGTCTCTATAACTATGTGCAGTTTAAGCAAAATATTATTTGATGACAAGATATATATACCAACACAGTTTATCAAAACATGTTTTGCTTAATTAAGCTTCTTCAGTTGATATGATAAATAACAAAGGAAATGACGTAAACTCACCTTACTAAAGAGTTAAGCAAAGTATAGTTAATTTTCTTAAGCACTGCATTTTCTCTCAATGTTTCTATCACTTTGTAATGTTTAAAATGAATTGGTCGAAACTAAGCACATTTTCCAGAAGTATTTCAAATATTTATAAAAAAATATACAAATTATCATTTGAATATGTTTATATTAATTGCCTAATTTAAAATATATATATTTTCTGATTTGAAATATATATATATTATTCTAAATTATTTGGTATGAACATTGATGGTGAATAATAATATTTTGTCCTAGAACATTTAATTATCTGCTATTTACGTAAATATTATTTCAGATCATGCATCTCACAAATGCCAACGAAAACACAGTATAATTACTTCGTGGTTTCTTGCTATATGTGAGAGAATAAATACTATCAATGTAATTATTCATTGAATACTTGTAACAGACATTCCATTATGAACCAATTCACTTTAAATTATATCTTGTTAATGTATTTTAAGTTATTCGCTGGTCGAAAAAGGACGGGCGGATGAAAGGATGCACGGACGGAAGGAAGAACAGACTAACAATGTAGCGTCTATATACTCTCCCTCTTGGAGAATAAACAAAAAACGACTGGAACTCTTCTAGCAATCAAAATCGATCGGGTGACACCATGCCACACTTCCAAGCACACACTGCAAACACTCTCCATATAGGGATTCAATTTGTAATATTCAACTACTACTGTACTTGCCTAATTCGCGATTTACCCTCTGGACTTTGCCTACTTCTACAGCTAAAATAGGAGTTATAAGGACGAAAGGTTAAGTCAAACAAAAGACTGATGCCCGCCACAATTGAATTCAACAGAGAACTGACCGGGTTATAATCCAAGAACAATTTTCGATAATTTTTTTGATAACACCACTTGAAGCGTATCGATTGTTGAGGAGAGTGCTTCGACATCGGTTAAGCCGGTTGATATGGGTCGCTTTCTTCATCGTTGTTACGGCATTTATGCAATAGTTTAATGTCATGTGTGCACTTTTTAATGAAGTTTTAAATAACTGTTTAAATAGTTTGCATTAATAAACGGTATGTATTACTACAGGCTTGAAAAATATATTGGTAGCTATGTTTCTATGAGTTATTAAACTTGTAAAGGAGAATTCGGTACTAACGAACTTGCCCAATATAATTTCTATCAATTCATCATCAATAAAAGGGGTTATAACGAATTTTAAAGTCGGTCGGCTAACAAAAAAGTGTGGGCCTTGTCAGATAAAACAGGTATTTAGACATATTACATTGGCTATAGATAGTATATATAAAACATTCTCACCAAATGTGAAGACTTGATGTCAATCATAACTATCTCAAGTGAACGCTTACAGTCAATGAAATACCATTCAAAATCATTATCTGAAATAAATCAAACAACACTTTGCATACAGTTTTCTATCTGAGATTTAGTTAAATATGCCTATAAAATGACAAACTTCTAGAAGAAGAACATGAGTAATTTTACTGCATTTGATAATTTAATAAGTTCGTGACTATCTTAGAATAGATAAAAGTTCAGCAATACATACTTATAAGGACCGTTACACATGTAATAACGCCTGCAAATGTATATCATGTATGTCTTCAAGACATGAAGTTAAATCTTACCTTGATGCAGTTTGTAGAGGGTTCGTTGATTAAGAATCAGCTCTGAAATTTAAAAAAAAAAAAAAAAGGCTACGCTAGGCAAATTTAAAATGAAATTTATAAATGATTTCAATTCTGGATCTTAATGGTGTCTTTATTTTTGTTCATAATTACCGTTACAGTATTCTCCAGTATATCATTTTGTACATCGTTTTGTATTCATTTGAATTTGAATGTCTGAATTATGTATTTTGTAAAAAAAGTCGTTCATCAAAATACTGTACATACAAATTTGATGAAATAAATGATTGCAAAGGTAAACTTTCAGTACTCTGAAAATAATTGTTCAAAAGAGAACTAATTAATATTCAACATTTAATAATGGTGCTTTATATATGGATGACAATTTTTAATTTCATGTTTTACTGAAAATACTTTAAAGAAGATGTATAAGAATACATACCTGTTGCAGTTTCATAGTCAATGCTTTGGACTGTTAACAATTAAAAAAGAAAGAACAAACATTTGAATCGTTCATATAATGGTTTCAAATCTTCTCACAGACGATTTTATTCATATCCGTTAATATAATTATTATTTAAAGAATCTTTTGTTAGACTAAACGTTGGTCGAGATATAAAACCAGCTTGTATAGAAGTATGCAACTCTTGATCGATTGGGGATAAAGCATCGATGCGAAAAAAATACAATTTAGTCTGTTGAAAATTTGATTAAATAAATATTGTTTTTATAATTCAGCGACAGTAGGATTCAGACAAGAACAATCAAATAGTAAAATCGGCAGAGTAAATAATATTCGCTTGAAAAATAGCGTCAGTGACCTTCTTTATTTTGTCCTGTTAGAATCGAAAAATGTATTGGTCTGAGCCATGTTTATCGGATATTTAACACCGATTTGTGGCGTTTTTTGGCGAACAATTTACCACTCAGGACTATGGCCGCCATGGTCACTTCCTAAGGACAAATGTAAAAAAAAGTAAGATTTATCATAGCAATCAAACAACTCGCGATATCAACGACAACTGTTTTGGAGACTAATGTGTCAAAACAGTAGATTCTATGTTAATTTAACCTTAGCAAAATTCTAAATCATATTGTATCTCGCAATGTAATGCTGACATATAATACTAGTAGTAGTTTTTCAAAATAATTCAATAACATACTTCTTCACTTCTTGTATACTTATATGTTCAAAATGTACGATATAATACTTATAGCATTTATACGTGTGTTTACATTTAAATATTCCAGCAATTTAACAACATAATTATGCTACTTTGATTTCTGTACGAAGCCGCCATTCACGATCTAAGCGTCTCATAATTTTCTCAAAAATTGTTAATAATATATCAAAATTAGGCAAATCAAAACAGATTTTAAAACAGGAATTAATTTAACCCACAGTCATGATCCATGGTATGAATGGTTCTGATATAATATGGAAACGTCAGATTTTAAAATACATATACATTTATAATTTGAACTTTCTTTTTATTAAGGACGTTTCTGGGTGTTTTCATGAAGACATGTGTGCAAAGTTAAAACTGTTCAATAGATTTCATGTGTCTTGGCATTTTGTAAGAATATGATAACAGAAACACTTTAAGCGGAAAAATATTGGGGACAAATCCAGCCATTGAAATAAAAATGTATAGAATGAACCTATACCTATTTAAATTCAACTCTACTTCGTAATGACAAACAAAAAAATAAAGTTTTTTTCTTGGGGCTGAATTAATTATTTATATATTTAATAATCATAAGAAAAACAGATGCATTCTAATTTAAATGACAATTAAAATAAATGTACTGTGTCATAATGAAATGTTCATCTTCCTAATAATGTATGCTTACTAGCCTAGTAACAGACCTAAAATGAATCATTGATATAGTTTACCATGGTGTCAAAACCGCAGACATATAATTCAATATAAATAATTTATTCATATTTCTTGTATTATATATATGATATTTCAACAAAAACATATCCACATGTGGGAATATGTATTTTAATATCGAGTGTAGAGGTAGACCAATCAGAGACTGGAAAATCGAAAGTGGGCCTATACAAAATTGCTAAATCACAACCAAATAGCTATTAATCAGAATAATGATAAAATTAACTTTAAATATTTGTTCATTGAACATTGTAAAACCAAGATATCATTTTTCTTTTTATAAACACTTGCAAGAATTTGTATTGTTGAAATTGGACGATCACGAAAAATTCGATATAGATTTTAGCAAGTTTTAGATATATGCCAATTATCTATACTTTTAAAATTTTAAAATTATTTGATATTCTGTCCAAAATGACTATAACTAATTGATGTGATCTATGAATTTAAAGTTTTTTCTTTCAGTTTATCCGAATGATCAGTATAGTAGGTGCCCGTTGATTAATCCACTTACTTTCAGATTTAGAGCTTTAACTCGTAAATGACATTTGATTTAATATGATGAAATGATGAAGTTTATTAAATTTCCGAAATAAAAGGTGTGTTAAATGTGAATGATAAAAATTGATAAGATGCTTATTGTTTTTAAAGCTGCATTTTATAAGTTTCCCCAAAACAGAAATAGCTATAATTGTTTAATAAAATGGGTTTGATAGCGACCCCCGTTCTTAATTTTGTGTACTAAATGTTTTGTGTACAAAATGACTATAACATCCTCCGGAATAAGTTTGCAAATCCGGAATTTTCGCAAACTCAACTACCCTTTTTAACATAGTTTCAATTCAAAAAGTTAAATCAAACAGTAATTTGGATAAAAATTAACGATTATTGACCGTTTACACAAAGATAGCGCAATAATTAAACGCTGGGTGAGCGTTCAAAGTGTGACCTCCCATGGGGTTTTTCAGTTCTCTCACGGGTTTTTACGTATCCCACTGGGACTTTAGTGGGGTTTAAACCCCATTTCTTAAAGTGGGAGAATAAAACCGTGGGAGGAAAAATATTTTTTTTTTCTTAATATTTTTACATGTGTTGAATATATAATACTTATAATAAACTTATTAGTATTCGAGGAATATATTTAAAGAATTTGGCAATTCTCCCATTGGCTGAACTAACCCATTTAGTAAATGGGAGAAATCTCCCAAAATTAAAATGGTGCGGAAACCTCCCAAAATTAAAATGGGAGAAATCTCCCATGATGGCTAACTTGCAGAAATACCCCATTAGAGCGTGATGGGAGAATAACATTATGGGAGAATTCATCTATATCTTTTTTTGTTTTACATATTGGATCGGAAGTTTAACGGTAAAAGTTTTTCTATATGTTAATATTCGGTTCCAAACTTTACTTTTTATGTTTTTATTTACACAATAAAGTATTTGAAGACTACAATAATAGTTTTCTTGCATAAAATTTAATTCTTATTTTTTTCTAAATCCCCCATTATTTTTATCTCCCATTTTTATAGAATGGGGGATAGCAAACCTCCAGTGGGAGAATGATAAAACCCCATGGGGACTCAACTTTGATTGTCTCCCCAGCACTCATTGTTAGGGGTATGTGAAATTTAAAGACCAGTTTTTGTTTAACTTTATACCCATTGTTAACTGAACTCTTCATTTATTCTCTAATTACTTAAGAAAGGGTAGCTGAGTTTGCGAAAATCCCGGATTTGCAAACTTATTCCTGTTAACTTAAGCTGTTCTATACAAACATTATAGATCATTGTGGCGAAATTGAGAGTACATTTCCTATTTACATATGAAACTCCGCCGATGGGAGATCCGAACATCAACAGAAAATCAACAATTATGCCTTTTAGTATCAGTCCAAATTTAACGGTATATTTCCGTATTATATAAAGAAAAGTTTCATAATTTCATTCGTTGAAAACCTTTGTATAACAAAAGGCCATATTTATCGCGAAAGCATAGCGTTAAAGTTGATTACATGGGAACATCCTACATTCGCTTTTTACAGCTATTGATATTTCTAAAGTCTAACACTGTGACGTAACGCATACACAGTCTTCATTTTGCTGTTAAAATTGTATACGAACTATAGTTCCACCGTGGGGTTTTCCTTTTAAAGTCATATTTTCTTAACAGTATTTGATAGATTTTACAACCATTAGAAAAAATGTAGACTGCTTGATTTTATTAGGCGGACAGCAAAATATTTATACATATTTTATAGAATATAGCTTTAATTGACAAATAAAAATGAAACCCGATATTTGAAGAAAGTAATATTTAAGATAGAATTCAACCTTGAATAAAGATAACTTACCTTTTGGGTTATAGAAACAGTGAGTCGCTCCCTGAGACACAGTTGTTACGTTGAACTGGGAGCAATTTGTATCTGCCTCCTGTCAAAATATAGGTTATTGTATTCGACTTATATATAAAATAGCCACGTTCAGTGCAATATTTGATATATGGCAAAAGTGTACAAAAGATTTTACAAATTCGATTTCATTATACAGTCATGTGCTTCCAGGTTGGAATATGATGCAAATTGTAAATAAAGATTACGTTCAAATAGGTTTCAACTTAACTGTGTAATGTTATACTTGTATAATAAATAACATATGTCAAATGTCTATTTAGTAACTTGCCTTTAATTTATTTGATTTCTGATATTAAAGTAACTTCTAATTATTACTAATAAAAATAAAAGCCCTTGCCTTTTCAAGAATGAAATCAGTCTCCAACAATCTAAATGTTTCATTTGTATGAACGTATCCCATGTCAGCCAATTTCTTTCTTTTACAGATTGAAATGTGGAGGATTTTAGTTAACATTTCAGAATTCCCTAAAATAATACAGAAAATTATATATTTTATCTTGTAATCATTCTGAACAATAGTAGTATAACATGTGAAGAAAACAAAGCGACGGACAAAATTTCAGAACACATTTAAACGGATCCTAAAAAAGAGAAAAACAAAAGAAAGCCTAACACATCAAAACTGTAAATCGGTTTGATTAAGCATGTACATCGACGATAGTTGTGATCACATGATAGGAAACTACCGTCCACGCCGCCTCCCAGCACAATCTTCAGCAAATAAAGCCTGCAATATCTCAAGTTTTATTTGTCAAAAGATTTTTTTAATGTCCTGGTACAGTTTCAAAAAATGGCACTCATTGTTCAAATACCGGAGTTATCTTTTGCTTGCTTTGTGTTTGCGTTTCAGCATTTAGTACAGTAACAGTGAATAAGTATTTGTATGGAAGTCAAGAAACCGTTGTTAAAATTTACATATCTTTATCATAAATTATTTCAAAACTGTTTTGTTCCGATTTTCAGCATGTTCTTAATCCATAAGAACATCATGAAGCTCATACTTTTCTTTCCTACAGAGAGAAAGCTGTATTCAATTCAAAAGTATAGTGTACTTTTAACACAACCAGCGTCAATCAGTTTAAATATTTCGTCCATTTAAAGATGTATTAACAAATTTTGTTATAATGCAATCCTAAAAACTATCAAAAGTATGATATACTGTTCAAATCCACTTTTACGAACATTTTCTTACCAAAATTGGTTAGTAAATAGCTCTTTTGAACAGTACAGACAAACAAGTTTAGAATAGTTTTACCCACGAACCTTTTTCACTCACTGCAATATCTGGAACCTGACCATGCGAAACAAATTCAGTGACAGGCAATGTTTTAGTGGATTCTTCAAATCCTAGAAAAAATCATGATACATAGTATTAGATATACTGTATATCAGATATATCAGCTCAAATGTATCATTCATGGAATATGATGGAAGTGATATATGAACATAAAACCGCAAAATATTTGATGCCAGATTAGAAAAAAATTATAATTATATGAAAATCGCAAAAACAAAATAGACTGAATATATTCATGAGAGATATTGGAAAGTTTGATTCATATTGCCCACGCAAGAATCAGTTTTTGTCAGAACATAAAGTTTTTTCAGTATACAATCATTGATATATACCCGTGGGACATGAAGATCCGATCTTATAAATGCTGTAGTTTCCTGAAATCCATTGTTCCTTATCAAGTGCAGTGTCATTACGGAATTTCACGCAAAAATAAAAAAGCGTCCAATTTTCTAGACCATGCGGCGATTTAAAATAGTCATCGTTTATGTATGAGGAATCGGGGTCCCAATTCCTACCCAACACTGAAGAGACACTTTCTGAATTTTTAATCAATTCTACCATCCTGACCTTTAAATTGCTTTTCGACCATCCGCGAGACTGTGATTCCGGACAGCCATATTTACACATTGGAATTGCGTATGGCCCTGGTGGCCACACGCTCTCTTTCTCTTGTCTTCCTGTAAACAGAAAGAAAATGTAGATTTATTTTATTTAAAAAAAAAACACTTTTAAAATAAATTTATAAACAAAGCAAAATTTCTGGTTCTTCTAGTCACAGTTATCTGTAGCAAGTAATGGTTAATTTAATTTGTAGCAATTTTACCTATATTTCTATGACTATGTTTCGAAATTTTAGAATGTGAATTACATATCCAATTCGATTCAACAAATTAAATAAAGGAATGTGTTATGTAAAATGTAAAGTAACTCAATAATTTGAATTTCAGCTAAAAGAATCAATGTTCTCTTTGATAGAATTATGTAAAAAATAGATTTCATTTGTATCTTTTATTAATCAGTCAATCATCATAATTTGTCGATCATTACTTGTTGACGATAGTTAAAAGTATTTTAGGTAGTTTATCGTATGGGCAAAAATGCTTAAAGATTTTTTCTTCTTTCGTTTGACATTTAGAATTTTCATAGCAATGCTGAAAAAAATTATACTTTTTTGTGCAATGCAAATAAAAAGACACGGACGATGTGTTAAGTTCTCAAATTGACAATGTTTCGGATTTGTATGATGAATAAAATAATACGAGATTCATATCGACCATAAAATCACATGTACCTGAAGGAGAAATGGTTCATTTTATTTATTTGTCGATTTTGAAGTTATTGTGCGTTTTTTTTTAAAGATTCACCTAAACAAATATATGATTTACCCTATAATAAATGTTACCAGTATGAATTAAATGTATGATTAACCCCGGCAGCGATTTTTTCATTGTTTGCATAAAAGTTCATATTACCAGAAATATAAATCTTAAAGTTGTCAAAAGGGGATCAATTTAAGACACTTTATTAAAGTATGTAATTAATGTGCTTGTTGATAGGCGGCAATTGTAAATGAAATGTTCCCTCTCTGCTCCAGTACTTATTTATAACAGTCAGAAATTAAAAAAAAAATCATTAACATCTTTAAATATGTTTGTGACTGCTTGTCATGCAGTATTTAGCAATGTGACATAATTCCAATCAGGATAATTCAAAGTGTATTTTAGAAAGATACTGATATTAAGCCAATTGAAAATGCTGCAATTTTATGTGTTCAACAAGAAAAGATTTTACATGTACGTGAAATTCATCATAAAAACGCCAAACTAGTTTTATAATTAAAGTTTATAACTTTTTTCTGGCTTAATTTTCGTAACGTTAATAAAATGAAACATTTTAGCTGCTGTAAAATTGTATTGTTGACCCTATTCATTGCATAAACTAATAACACATTTGTTTGTTAAGCTGTTCAGATAGCATTTATAAAAAAAAACATTTCATCAAACTGAGCCTGTTACATTTTCAACTTTGACGTTTGGACGTTCTTTGGGGATTCTATTTCGCTCTATGCAATCTCTGAGGAGATGTTCATAGATGATACGTGGAGCTAGATTGCCAGTATGTTAGAGTTTCATAGTGTTGGATGATACTTGAGAGACACCATTATATTCGTGTGGTGATCTTTAATAAAATGCCACCGGTAATATTATTATCATTTCTACCAGTCATCATTTGATGGAAACTGTTAATAAATAAAGCGTAAAATACCATATAGGAAATATATGCTATTTTGGACAATTTCACAAGTCTTTGGAAAATCACTCGACATGTTAAATATAATTATCTTTTTACTTTGGACCTTTGAATGTGACCCTGACCTTGTGGGTAGTGACTTAATTGTTGTGCTCTGCAAGTCTTAATGATGTTCATTTCTTGAGTTATCTTAAAACCAATGCAGCGGTTTAAATGTTTTGAAATGCAAACTTTAAAAACTTGACCTTTACGTACAACATTGCCCTAGGGGGTACCAAATCAATTTTTGCATCTGCACATCGTCATATAATAGTGATCATATGTACCAAGTTATTTAAAAACAAAATTTAGCGGTTTAAATGTTATGGAGCGACAGGGAAGTGTTATGTACGGACAGACGGTCAGACATATGGAGGGATTTATGGACAGACAGGGGGAAATACAGACGGAAGCTATTCCTATAAGCAACTCCCTGCTTTGCGAAAGGGGATTAACAAAATGTCATTCAAAAGGCATCTAACTCTCTTCCTTATAAATCAAATGCAGCTATGACATTTACATCAGCATAAATAAAGTCTAAACACATTTATTTTAATTTAGTATAAATGAATACAATACATTAACTTCTAGAAGTGTTGAAAGATACAATGAAATTACAAGGAACTCTACTGAACGTCCAAAAGCATTAAAATCATACATTTGAATTTCTCTTATTTTTCTTAACATAATATTAAGTAATATACATCCAAATAAATTGAAAATCGTATTTGTTTTCTATTCTTAGTCAAGTAAAGGTGAAAAGCGATGCAATGTTTATTCAGTTTAAGGTCATTTTTCGAAATTAAAAAAAGACAATTCTAGCAAAACGAAGTTGGCAAATGAGCTGGAATACAAAGTATTAGTCTAGACCTACATCAAATGGAACATAAATTTTGAAAAGCATTTCTAGCCCAGTCTTGTAATACAAATTCATGGAGTCACTTTAACTTTAGTACATGTGAATTAATATGCAATTTTTAGCTAAATGTAGTGCAAAGACATTACTTTAACATATGTGAAGTACAATGACAATAAATTTAGAAAAAATGACCTGCAATGACATTTTCTATAACATTATTAAATTACAATGACATTTTCTGAAACATATATGAAATTCTCGTACACTGACATTTTTTTCAAGCGTACATTAAAAAATAACAATGGCACCTACATTAATTTATATGTCATTTTCATCCGAAACAAAGCTCAATCAGGACTCAGAATTATGAAACACAGGATATGTCCGCATACAACATGTCTAGTTTTTTTTTCTCATTCTGTACATTACAAACAAATTTAAGAAGAAACAAGAAAAGCATTGATGCAAAGCATCAAAGGCGACGCGAAAAAAAAATTGATCAAGTTTTGCACCTAAATACTTAACAAAAGATGTTTTTTATAGCAGTACCATTACATGTGACCTGGAGGCTAGGCCCAGTTTAAAGAATAGACCCTGTCTTGCCAAGATGCAAAGACAGTTCATAGTCAATTTACCAATCTTATACGACTTATGCCATAAGAGAGAATTTTTTCAGATTTATTTTACCAGATACAAGGATACCCGAGTCATCACCATATAATAAAAGCTTATTGCTAAGGGTTGCAGACATGTTATTGACATATATTAGACATAACAGAGGACCTAAAATGAACCTCATGGGGACACCATAGGTTCTCGGAGCAGTAGTAGAATGAGTACCAGCCACATCCAACAGCTGCAGACAATCAGGGATAAGACTTAACTAATTATATTGCTTGATCCAAAATTCTGGAAACAAAGTGATCCCTCGGAAGCATTAATCACAACAAAATTACATAAGAATTGCAGACTCGGTTTGATTGAGTCTGTACATGAGAGATAATGAATAAGTGCAACATCTCTCACGCCCCCTAGCACCGGCTAAGTTAAGGACATTTTCAATCAATACATGTATTATCATTTATAACTTTAAATGAAAGTATCATTCCTTTAATAATAATGTCATAACGGTAGCTCTTTAAATACAGAAATATTATAAGTCTCATCATATCAATATACTAAAAGATAAACATGTATGCGCATAACATTAATAGTGCCCAGTTTCTATTAAATACATATGAAATCCTAACATTTACATTAACATTGGTACTAATTGATGGAAATCAAAATCTAGTAGAAAGAAAACTCTATTGTATAAACTCTATGATACAGACTATTATTAGCCAGCTAACACTGGGTATAAATATCTATAACATGTAGACTAATCGATACATGTTTTATCATTTATAAGTTTAAATGCAAGTCTCATCCATCATAACTGTAAGTCTTTACATTAAATCCATATACAAAAAAAGAAACACATGTATGTACATTACATTAATAATTCCTAGTTTCCTTAAATAATAAATATATCATCCTACTAACATTGGTACTTGGATGAAATTCATAATCTTGTAGAAAGAAAACTGTAATGTTAAGTTAAAAAAATCTCAAATAGTCTATATCATATAATAAAGATTGAGTTGTGTGAGTGTCTAAACATTAAATGCATACCTCTTACAGTAACAAATACTGTCCCTCTTTTAACCTTCATATATCACTAACTGCATATATATCAAGTGTTTAAAATTGATAATTTCAGGATGTTATCCTTTCTCTGTTTTAATATATTGACATGGGCACCTGTATGCATAGCTTTAATTTTCTACCTTTCATTTTTACCAAAGGTTATTTTATTAACAATTTATGTACAAACACAAACACATAGAAAATAAAAATTAGTTTCACATAGTGATTAGAAGATTCCTGTAGCAGAATAACTGTAGGTATGTACTAACTGAACAAACTAGAACTAGAACTGTGTCCAAAGGACAAGGATGCCCCCACTGACAACATATGTATGGTATAAAGTGAAAAAATCAACAAAGTGCCATAATTCTGTTAAATTTGGCCGCAGCAAAAATTCCGTCCTTTACTTCCATCTACACATTAAGGTTGTTCATCCCTGGAAGTTTAGGCAAAATCTGCCATCAAGTTTAAAAGGAGTTGCGTTCACAAAATTTCTATATGGTATATAGTGAAAAAATCAACAAAGGGCCATAATTCTGTTAAATTTGATCGCAGCGAAAATTCCTTCCTTTACTGCCATCTACACATTAAGGTTGTTCATCCCTGGATGTTTAAGCAAAATCTGCCATCCGGTTTAAGAGGAGTTGCGTTCACAAAATTTCTACTTAGTTTATAGTGAAAAAATCAACAAAGGGCCATAATTCTGTTAAATTTGGTCGCAGCAAAAATTTCTTCCTTTTCAACCATCTACACATTAAGGTTAACTCTGGAAGTTTAAGCAAAATCTGCCATCCGGTTAAAGAGGAGTTGCGTTCACAGGATTTTGGGACGCACGGACGTACGTACGGACGGACAAACGTACGGACGGACGGACAAGTGCAACGCTATATGCTCCCCACTTTGTGGGGGCTTAAAAATCCAGTCTAATGTATATAAAGCCAGTAAACAAATCTACCAATATTCACTCCTCAGGGCATCTTATGCTTTTGATGACCTTACAACTGGTAAATTGTGTACAACAAAAATAGTAAAATATACTGTGCTCCTCTTTGTTCACGGTACTTAACGCTTTGAAACCAGAAAGAAAACAATAAATGAAACTTATTGTATAAAATTGTCATAAGCTATAACATATTTTCTGCTGTATTGCACAAGGAAACAACAATATATTCAGTCAAAGTCAATTTTAATGGACCAAACGTAGACCATATGTCGGTCATTTTGAAAACAGTATATCATCATTAAAATCGCGGTAATGGTGTTACATTTCAGCTTTTTCATGTTTCGGTTAAAATTTCTACATGTTATTTTGCTTGATTTTAAATATAAAAGTTATCCTTACTTTGTAAGTCACAATTTATTTTTTCAACAACCAAGAACATTCAGAAAATGATGATTGTTTCTGACATACGCACACATTTAATTATTGTTGCCTTTTGCAGAAATTTGTAAAATGTTGTTCTGCTTTACGTAAAAATCTAGAGATTTAAAATATTTTGCACCAAAACTTTGTTTTATAGGTGTATGAATAAAATATGTCAATTCTGACCAATTTTAACACTGGTCGCATGAAAATATGCCATTACCGTAAAATAAGTGATGACGCGGAATAAGTCATGGTGAGTATAATACCTACAATAGCCAGACAATAACAAATAATTTAGTAAACATGAGTTACTTCCCCTTAAAATAGAGAAAACCTGAAACCCAAAAGAACACCCTAAACAGCAAAATTATGAAATGTTGCAGGCTCAGTTTTATTAAGCCATGCAAAGTAATGGTAAAGTATTCATAAAAAGTTAGATGGCCATGTTACAGCAGTAATTGCAGAAAATCGGATACTATCCTAATACTCTTTTGCAGATGAACGTTCTTCTTGTAGGAAAATTTTGAAAATATAACAAGAGCTGTCGGTAGGACAGCACGCTCGACTATTCGAAGTGCTTGATAGTAAAAGAGCCTTGATAATGTTAAACTTTTTAAGTTCACAAAAGGGCTAATTTTTTTTATAAATTCATGTTATAGGCCTTAGAGAGAGTCTAATTATACAGTATTGGCTTGACTATTCGGAAGGTAATGTCACGAGTGTGTTTTATTGGGTATAATAATACTAATTACCTATGAATACATAAATTTGATAGAAAAGGTACAAAGGCTTGTTATTAAGATGTTTTATCAAGTAAATAACTGCTTTATTATTATGAATGCATAAAATTGTCCCAAAAAAGGCACAAACCCTTCAGTAGTTATTGAGATAACAGCTTACAAGCAAAACTTTACCATGAATTTCTAAGTTGAAAAAGGGGAGAAAAATCAGCTTAATTGCAAGATAGAATTATGGATCTTTGTCAGTGGCCTACAATTATGACCCTAAATGCATATGTGAAGTTTTAAATAAATATCTTTAATAGTTATTGAGATATGTAAAACTTGCATGTAAACATTAACCAAGAGACTAAGTAGAAAAGGGGATATGAATCAGCCTTAATGCAAGATAGAGTTATGGAACTTGGTCAGTGACATAAAATTATGACCCTCCAATTATGACCCTAAGTGCATGTGTAAAGTTTCAAGTAATTATATTTGAAGACCTTTAACCTTTAACCAAAATTTCTAAGTTTCAAAGGGGCAAATAATTCTGCAAATATTGCAGGCAGAGTTATGCAATTTTGCAAACTGATGTACATTGTTACTATAAAAAAGTATTTTAAATTTCAATTGAATATCTCAAGCAATAATTGAGATATTTGATTTTACAAAAAACTTTAACCAAAATTTCTAAGTTAAAAAGGGGAATAATTCTGTCAATATTGTAGGCAGAGTTATCCAACTTGTCAATCTGATGTAGCTTGTTACTATAAATAAGTATTGTAAGTTTCAATTGAATATCTCAAGTAATAATTGAGATATTTGACTTTACAAAAAACTTTAACCAAAATTTCTAAGTTAAAAAGGGGCATAATTCTGTCAATATTGTAGGCAGAGTTATCCAACTTGTCAATCTGATGTAGCTTGTTACTATAAATAAGTATTGTAAGTTTCAATTGAATATCTCAAGTAATAATTGAGATATTTGACTGTACAAAAAACTTTAACCAACGCAGACGCCGACGCGGACGCTGACGCCGACGCCGACGCCGGGGCGACTACAATAGCTCTCATATTCTTCAAATAGTCGAGCTAAAAATGAATGAAAAAGAATACGGCATCAATGTAGACCACAACGATATTCGAAATCCGGGTTTTAGTATTACCAATAAAGCTAAGGGACAAGCTGTTAAACTGAGCCTGCAATTTCGTGAAAATAATATAACAATGCACATGCTTTTTACATGTTATTAAATACAAAATATAACAACATATTTGTTTACTTGATTTTTACGAATCAGAATAAAACTAATTAACACAACATGACATTAACTGCTTATAATAACAGCTCCTTCCATAGGCCAAAATAAAAAGCATTCCATAAGAGACGACGCCGCCCGTGATATTGAACAAGTATGTTTAATTTGAAATATTTAGTTTATCAATATCATTGACGCCAGAAAAACAAGGATTATGACATGACTATCAGTGTCACATGCTGAGTACGAAAATGTATTGATTCTGATAGTGGACATGTATTTCAACGTAAAGTCTTTATCATGGATAGTTTTTTTGAGAAAAAACGATAATGAATTGAATCTTAATTTCAAATGACTTAAAAATATTGGTAACAAGACCACCGCATGCAGGGATAACTTTTTCATTTCAGTGATGTTACTTACCGTAACTCATATTAAGCCTTTCACAATTCAGTCGGTTTGTTCCATTTTCAAAACATTTTGAGTATGGAAACTCAGTAGGTTTATATACAACTTTAGGTTGAAGAAACACTTGAATACATCAAATGCAGAATAAACATTAGCTATGTTTGCTATATAAATGTAGCTAGATTATATTTGTTGAGAAAAATAAGAACGGAGAACCCTGGAAAGCAACAAAACAAGAATAATTAATTGTTATTCACACATATGACCTATTTACCGAAGATATTTGTTAGTTCGTGAACGATCACATATAATCAAAATAATTAAATCACCATATAAATGTTGAATTATATATCATTATTGCATAATCTCCGATTAAGACAACAACAAATTTACTTATATTTGGGATCAAATCTGACCATCAACAATAGGAAATGAAAAAATCGAACTACTTTTATATTCGCAACGTTGGCAAAACAGTTATCTTCTTTACATTGGTCTTTTGTGTTTGATTTTGTTTTTCCAGAATATATGGAATTCAAAAACATTTCACTTTACATTCTAACTTTCTTTTGAGATGTAAAATTGTGTATTTAACACTTAATTTATTCTGACAAATCTACAAAATGTATTAAATATGATAAACAAGATAAACAAGGAAGGCGGCGTTTGATGAACGCAAGCCCAACACGGCCAAGCAACAAGACCAGCGCAAGGAGCCCAGGAGGACCCTATAATATATTGTGTCGCACAATCTTTATATAGAGTCATAATTGCAGTATATTATGTCAATGTGTCCTTAACTGTTGTCAGTCTTTCATTATATGATGTGCAATTACAAATATATTATAAAGAACAAAACAACATTATAGTATGTAGAACCGTCTTTATATAGAGTCAACTTAACAATATATGATGTAAATGCGTCCTTTCATTATACGATGTACATTAATGAATATATTATGTGGAATCATTCTTATATTGAGTCAAAACAACACTATATTATGTAAAATCGTCTTCATATAGAGTCAACTTATCAATTTGTCAGCAGTTTAGAACCGCCCGGAATTCCCTCAAGTCTTGAGATTTTATCACAATGGGATATAGACAGTTCCCATCACGAACGGTGCATAATGAGATATAGCCCGGTTAATTTAACCCCATCAGTATAATGACAAAAGCACACGATATAATGATGTTTGCACTTCATATAAAATATGATAAACAAGATCAACAAGGAAAGGCGGCGTTCAATGAACGCAACCCCCACTTGACCCAGCAACAAGAACCAATGGCAAGGAGCCCAGGGGGACCCCAAACAAAAACAGGACAGGGCAAAGACAGAGCGGACGTAAAATAATAGATTCAAGTCGTATAATAATAGATTCACATCGTATAATGAAAGATTGACATAACACATTTATGAGTTGGCATTATATAATGATGCTACCACATAATATATCCATAAACGCACATCGTATAATAATATATTCGCATTGTATAATAAAAGATTGACATAATATATTGTAACGCTGACTTTATATAATGATGCTACCACATATTATATTCATAAATGCACATCGTATAATAATAGATTCACATCGTATAATAAGAGATTGACATAATATATTGTTAAGTTGACTTTATATAATGATGCTACCACATAATATACTCATAAATTCACATCGTATAATAATATATTCTCATCGTATAATGAAAGACTGACATACTTATTATATTGATAAGTTGACTGTATATATTGATGCTACCACATAATATACTCATAAATGCACTTGTATAATAATATATTCGCATTGTATAATGAAAGATTGACATAAAATATTGATAAGTTGACATTATATAATGATGCTACCACATAACATATTCATAAATGCACATCGTATAATGATTGGTCGACATCATATAAAGACACATTGACATCATATATTGTTCAGTTGAATTCATATAAGGATGCATCCACATATTAAATTCATGAGTGCACATAGTATAAAGAAAGAGTGACACAACAACGTTCAATTTTATAATCATAAGACAGTCAAGGCGTTGAACACTTAGCATGCAGTATGTCTTGAAATAGTAGGATCATAACCTTTTTAAATAAACCGTTTAATGATTTAAGTAAAAACAGCAAAAAAATTACCATGACCCTAGATCCTACGATTTTGTAAATCACATCGCCATAAAAATCAGGCTGGCCAATCCCTTGACGTAGAAGATTATAAAATCACTATGAAACTTTAAAATCAAATCAAAATTACGTTTTGTAAAATTTTGTTAAATATTTACATAATTTAGGATAACGGTTGTCCTGCTTTAAAAGCTTGCTAGTAATGAATATATTCCGCTTGTTGTAATCGTTTACGTTGCTTCAAGTGCTAACGAATCTAATTAATTTAGAAACATATACCAAGTAAGATGCTGCATGGGGTACGTCTCCATCTCAGTATGAATAATTAACTGTCATCGCCTTTGTTATAGATTTTCGTGTGAATAGACTTGTTGTAGACAGTAATATGAAGATCAAAAAATAATGTACTAAAATATCATGGGGATAAATATCAGACACCATTTGATCAAAATAAGAAATATCTAAATAAAACATATCACCAAGGTATCTAGACGTATTATTAAATGATTCTATACTATTCAATAAATACAAGGATTGTGAACAAGTATTACAAAGTTCAAATGATTAAACTTCAATAAAATACATATTTTTCAGTTCAACGGGATAATATCAGATGACATAGAAAATATCTCGGCGAAGGGATGTTGACAGAACGAAGAAATGGTAACTATGCTGTAATCCGGTATGACAAATTGATCGTGAAAGATTTTGTGTACAAATACGACGACACTATTCAATCTATTGTGTCAATCGGTGCTCGCTGAAGGAATACACGTCCACGTGGCCAGACAAGCGATGTTTTACACATAATGCAGCAATTGGATGTACAAAACCACGTGAGTGCTGACGTAGAACCCGATCAACCGCGCTTTGTGAACCGACCAATCAGGAGCGATTCGGGTTTGTCCAATGATGCTTCCGACTCATCTAATATAGAATAGGGATACGGTCAAGGCCAAATAAACAATTATTATTCATGTATGAGCTGACCATGCATGCTGACCATGCTGAACTTATTTAAAAGCATTTTCTCTTCTTTTGGTATTATTCACCCGTGTGAAATAAGGGGAAAACGTGTGGGTGAATTTAGCTCCTTTTTAGAATCTTATATTTGTTATGAACATATCAGAGCACAACGTTCTAATAACATTCGCAATAACGGTGGTATTACCTATTTTATAAAAAGCAATTTATTTAAACTAAATATTATTACATATTAAGAATGCTTTTGAGGATTGTGTTGTATTATATTGTATTTTTGAATTTTTTTAAGTGTAGAAATGTTATTATGTATTTTGATTATGAATCACCTGAAAGGTTGCCTATTTACGATTCCAGATAGTAAAGAAATGATATTTGGACCAAGTGGGAGACTCTATGATGGACAGTTCTTTAAAGCCTTTTGGGACTAAATTGTCTTAATGTTCGTTTTCTGACTTGCTTTGTCGGGCCCTTGTAGGTGATTTTCTTGTTGCTCTGTCTTCCTTTAGGACATTGAGTACTTTTGTTATGGTCATTTGGTTTACTTTTATATGTTTCTACATGATCATTTTGGTGTTTTATTTATTTAACCTCTTGTAACCATAACAACTGTTAGAATTTCACTTAGCGGGGATTCATTTTATTAACACTGTCTCGATTAAAGGAACAAAGTGGGGCTAAGAGTGAGGTTTGTTGCATCATTAACCCGTTTAAACCCCCCCAGCAGTACTTGTGCTGCTGACCGTTCCAAGGCGGCGCCCCTTTGTGTTTCTCAGATGTATGTCTATGTTGTTTCATACTGTTTTGGGGACACTTTTGCTTGAGTCCCTTGTTGTTTTCTCGACTACTGTTAGTATATTCCTCTTTGCCCCTTTTTATTTCTTTGATTTACCCATTCCTCCCCCGCCTTCCCCCGGTCATCTGTCCCCTTCCCCTTTGCCCTTTGACTTTGTGGGCTAATTATTCAATCCTTTATTTGTTTTCTTTGAATTCTTTATCAGTTACAAATTATTAATCATTTTAGTGATTAACCTGTCCGTGCTCAGTCTTGTGCCCTGTCCTGTTTTTGGTTGGGGTCCGCCTGGGCGGCTTGCCACTGGTTCTTGTTGCTAGGTCGTAAGGGGGTTGCGTTCATTGAACGCCGCCTTTCCTTGTTGATCTTGTTTATATTATTTTTTCATATTTACAATCAAATGTAAACGAGATAACTTAAGAACTATCAAATAGTTTAATATTTCTAGCAGGGGATCTAACGATTATTTAGACTGTATTCCACATGATAACTTAGATTTGTTTTTGGGGAAGTTGAGTATGAAGGAAGTTATTTTGAACTGCTTCGAAATAATAGATATGTTCGACGGGAAAATAATTTTTGGAAGTCACTAGTACAAAAGTGTTGTTATTGTCCAAGAGGTTTGTATGTGTAGCTCATCAACACATTACTACTGATACATGAAATTGTATGTACATACGTACCAAATTCAAATTAAAAAAAATTGCTTTGTATTTTTAATTTATCAAACTAAGTCTTGTGTTAAACTTGAATAAAGGTGTTTGAATATTTAGTTAAATATTTCATATTTGCATAGGTTTTGTGATCCAAACATTTTCCAGATTCTTAATATTACAGCTAGGTCTTTGCAATTTTAAAATAGGACAATAGAATTTTATCATAAGTAATCATGGTTGCCCATACACAAATAATGTTTTTCAGTCAAAACCGGAAGAAAAGTTAAGTAATCCATTGTAACTGTTAAAGAATATGAAATATGTGTTACTTAATCACTTATTTTTTAAAAAAAGTAATTTGCCCAAGATCTGATTGCAGCTTCTAAAATTCATAAGCCGTGTCAAATTTGAGTGATTTGTTTCTACAGATAATGATCCAGTTCACCACTAGGTACACTTATATAATTTAGTCACCGCTTTTCTTGCAGTTATCCTTAATCCCAACATTACTAAATGATCAGAGGCCGAGCCTCCCTTGAACTACTCT